GTTATTATTATTATTTTTATTATTTTCGTTTTGAATATTTTCTTTTGAATCAAATTGTTTCGTGGGGTTAGTTCCTTCTTGCAACTACTTTTTTTCTTCCAGTCTTTTTTGAACTTTGCTTCATCTTCTTTGAAGGATAGTCATCATCGTAATTATCGCTAGAACCACCATCAGTGTAATCACTGTTATCAAGGTTACCATCAGAGTTATTACCAGTGTCATCAGCATCATCATCAAAACTATTAGATAAAATATTGTCACTCTTTATACAATCCAATCTTTCACCGGCATTATTATTAATAGCAAGTTGGCTGATATAGTAAACGTATTTGCGTAAAGTCAGATTGGCTTCATTAGGTTGAACGACACGAGAAATATATAAAGTGGTTTGATTTGTTTCTTCTTGCTTGAGAAAGTATGTATCACTATAATTTGATAATATTCCATAATGAAGACCATTGCAAGCCATTGCGTCAAACATCTGCGATAAGATCACTTTATTAAATTTAAAATTATGATTCATTATGTGATCCCGTTGGACACGTTGATAAATTGTTCAGAGATGATGACCACATAAATTCAGATTGAATTGCGTTTTCATTTCTGCAGATATTTTGGCAACTGTGAAATCATTAGTGCCTAAAACGAAATCGGGAACGTCTAACAGCCCAGGACATTTGCAGTGAAATATTGCTCCTTGTGTTTTTAGTATTGTATCAACTGGAAATAAAACATTATTATTAAAATGATCTTCTGCGTCTTTTTCAATTCTTAAAGGTCACAGTTTAGTTGGGTTCACGGAGAATTGTCCTCCTGAAAGGGGATATTGTGTTCTAGCAAGTCTGACACCTCGAAAGAATTGAATCCATTCCCTTACGTCATCTGGAAATAGTGGGTAAACAGACACCGTTGAACTTGGATTAAGTGAAATTTGTGGGTTCCATTGGCAAACCGGAATGACATGGCTTAATATTTGATCTGCTGTTTCAGTTATCCTTAGTGTTAACCAAATGCAAAATAGAAGAAGAACAAGAATAACTACTGCCCTTTTATGAAATAACATCATAACTATATATAAAATAACTTATGATTTTCAAAGTCAGAATCACCTATTTTATTCATGAAAAGTATTAGATATACTTAAAATACTTTTGGTCTGATTATCATACAACGTGCCTATGCGACAGAAAATTTTTTTATATTTCCGTGAAAGAAAAAAAACAAAGATCGCTACAACTGATGTATCACAGTTTGAAAGAAGCATTGACAAAGAAATTAGACGAAACATTATACAGGTAAAGTTGCATTTATTTTTTTTTTTAAATACATAGCTTTTTATTTTATTTATTTTTCGAACGTGTTTACTGCGTGTCCAGTTTTTCTGAAATTATCTTGTTTTATCATGTTCTACAGTATAAATAAACCGTGAAATGAAAATTGTATTGCAGATCATCTAGATGCAAAGCATTATTTTTATTCCATATTTCGTAACTGTTAATATTGCTGAAGGCAGTCACACAGATGCAATAGTATTTGCTGTAAAAAGGATATTTTCGCTATATCCATACAAAGTATTCACTTAATAATATTAATAGTAATAATAATTAATAATTAATAATAATAATAATAATAAATAATAATAATAATAATAATAATAAATAATATTATTATTAAGTTTCGTTCTAATAATATATTTTAAAATGCTAAAAATGTTAAAATTAACTTTACCTGCCCTGCAAACAGTAATAGTTTTTATATAGCCTATATAATCAATTGTTATAAAAAAACGCTTCTAAGTAAACTTTATAGGGAATTGGATCAGGCTAGCGAACATAAAGAACAAAGCTTCGAAGAATATATTTAGTCATTTGGGTGACTCGTCATATGAACGATCATAATTTAATTTATCATTATTGTAAAACGAATATAAATAGTTGTGTAACATGTAGATCAAAATCTCCTATGCTTTTTCTGCAATTAATGTTATAATGGCAATGATAGAAAATTGGGTTTCAATTATTTTGAAGAAACTTAGAAAAATTCAACAGTCCCTAGTACGAAGACGTTGAAAAGATTTAAATAGAACTATTGTGTTGTAGCTAGCCGTGTGGAAAATTTCTCCTCTCTCTATTTTTATCCATTTTTGGATGGAATTGTGTAATGTATTTATTACTTGATCCCGTCGATGGGATGCATATTGTATCCTTTAATTACTTGAACTTTTTGTTCTTTCAAATATCTAAACTCATATCAATTATAGTCAAATCGAAAATGCGGTAAGATAATTATTATTTGATTAATATAAAAAGGGAATCTGCGATCTTTCTTTGAAATACCATACTTAACATATGAATAATCGGTTATAAATAGATTCAATATCGGTAAATTAACTATATATATATAGAAAAAAAAAAAGATTCACTTTTTTACACCACAAATTCTTTTATTTTCCAACCTTCTATTTTTTTTTTTTCACATTTTTTGAATAATTCAAAAATCATAATACACACTTTAATAATCACGAAAACCGTTCAACTTTATAAGTAAAAAAGAAAAAAAGAAAAAGAATGATATATACAAATTTCTGTAATAATAACTGATAGTGATAGTAAGAAAAAAAGGGAGGAAGAATAACGAAGAAGAAAAAAGGATCATCAAGTTCGAAACAAATTAACGTGACAGAAAGAAAAAAAGGATAAATAAAAGAAAAAAAAGAAGAGATACTTTATGTATGTATATGTAAAAATAGATATAGCTAGATAGAAATATATAATGAAAATATGCAAAAAAAAAAAAAAAAAAAATCTTTTTCAACAACAATCCAATGATATTCTTTGATGATGTTCTTCGATATTCCAAGGTAAATCCACAATTTGATCCACATTAATAAAAAAAAAAAATTAATAATTTCATAACATCACGTAAAGCATAACTGATAAAGAAATAATTAAACATATGTATATACATAAAAAAAAGGTAAATTAGAAAAAATATATTCATTCATTCATTCGACTATTTTCGTTGACTATTTTTTTTTTAATATTTACTTTTTTTTTTTTTTTTAAAGACATTTTCTAAGATTGTTGTTGTGCTTGATATTTGAGACGTGATTGCTCAAATAAGAGTTCTTGTTGCCTTAATAATTCTTCCTCTGACATTCCGGAATTTTCCAATCTGGAACTTTTCTTGTCACGATCCTAAAAACGTTATATGAAAAATATAAAAATATGATAATTATCAAAAGTTAATAACAAAAAAAAAATATAATATTAATGATGATAAAATATTTCTTAAAGACGTACCTTTTGCAATTTTTTATGTTCTTGGAATACTTCTTTTACTTCGGACAGATAACTATCGAAACCTAACTCCTATTTAAAATAATATTTAATTAGTTATCAAGTAAAGCTACCGAGAATTTTTAATAAAAGAATTGAATTAATAATTAATATTATTATTATAATTGTTATTTACCTCAAGAGCATTAATAACGTGCTCCGCGGCAATGGTTTTTTTAGCGTCTTTTTCACAGATGTCGTTTGCTTGTGAAGCGATCAAATGAATAAATTCTAACAAAACAACAACAACAACAACAACAATAATAATAATAATAATAATGTATTACTAATCAATACTAGAATATAGACTCGAGATAATAAATACAAGTTTAGATAACCTTTTCTACTTTACTTACCTACGCAACAATCTATTAACAAGTCTCTTGTGTCTTTAGCACAATTAATGTCAGGTGGTAACATTTCTGTAATGAGTTTTGTGACAGTCGCTTTTTTTTTTTAATGCAAGTGAAAAAATAAGAGATAAACTTGGTTTTAATAAAATAGTCAAAGAAAGAAAGATAGACAGACGGAAAGAAAGGTAGATAGATAGATAGAAAAGAAGGAAAGAAAGAGAGAAACAAACAAGCAAACAAGAAAAAAAAAGTAAAGAAAAGAAATAATATATATACATTCATTATTATATATATAAAAAGAAATATTCATTAATACCTTTAGGAAGTGACAAGTCGTCATCCCCGGCACCGTTTGGAAATTCTTTATCACTCATTGTAATATAATAAAGTTATTATGGGTAAATTCGTTATATGGTATATGTTGTATGTATTGTAAGGTTGTCGCCATCGTGGAAGCAAGTCTTTATATAATGAACTATGGTTTCTCAACAAGGTTTTAGAAAAAAAAATCCCATAGCAATTATCAAAAAATGGGGACCAGTTATAGGACCCCGTTTTCCCATTATTATCATATTATCATAATTATTATTAGAACCCACATTACTTTATATGAATCCCGCAGTGATTGCTTGTTATATTATTAATGATTGATTGATTAACAATAATTAATAATAAATTATTAATAATAATAAATAAATAATACTTTGATTACATATATAGTAAGTAATGAATATAATGAATACATCTACATATACAGTAATATTAAATTTATTATTTTTGTTATGCATGATTTATTGATTTATTTCCTGTTGATTTATTTCCTGTTGATTTATTTCTTGTTGATTTATTTCCTGTTGATTTATTTTCTGTTGATTTAATTCAATAATTTTATCAGTAATTTTAGTAAATACTTTAAATAAATTTGATTCCGAATATTTTTTGATCAAATTATTTTCCGATGATGAAATATTTTCATCTTCTTGTTTCTCTAACGTAATAGTAAGTGATGGATCTATTGGAACCCGTCCTATTATTATTATTATTATTATTATATAATAAGTAAAATTATAATAAATTAATAATGTAAACAATCAATATCATGAATAAAATAGAATTAATTAATTTACCTATAAATTCTACACCAAATTCAGTTGCCATTGCTTCACCACCTCCTGTGGAAAATATATTTGTACATTCCTAAAAGAAATAAATCAAATAAAAAAAAAAATCAAATTATTTTAAATATATTAAAAACAATAAATAAATAATTAATTATCAATATATTGAAATCAACTAACCTCACAATGAGGACATATAAATCCACTCATATTTTCAATAACACCCAATATTGGTAATTTTACTTTTTTGCAAAAATTTAATTCTTTACGTACATCACTTAATGCAACTGCCTATAATAGAAAACATTGAAAACATTGAAAACATTGAAAACATTTAAAAAAATATAAATAATTAATTTGTAATTAATTATTTATCATACCTGTGGAGTTGTTACAATAACTGCACCATCAGGATTTACATCTTTTAAATATTCCACAATAGATATATGCTCATCAGATGTACCTAATTAATTATTATTAAATAATTGTTAATTAATAATAAAATATAAAAATAAATATAAAAAAAATAATTAATAATAAAAATATTAAAAAAATAATAATATAATTTATGATTTTACCTGGAGGTGTATCAATAATAAGATAATCCAAATTTCCCCAACAAACATCATTCAAGAATTGTTTAATCATTGCTAAACACAATAAATATATATATATATGAATGAATAAATTATATGATGAATAAAATATATAAATAATAAAATATATAAACAAACAATATATATAAATATTTACCATTCTTTTTTGGACCTCTCCATACCACTGAATCATCTCTATTTTGCAATAAAAATCCAATTGACATACAACAAAGTTTTTGATTTTCATCTGAATAAACTGGAACCCAACTTTTATTTATTTAATTAATTATGAATAATAATAATTATGAATATAAGTAATCCTAATCATGAATAAATCACAATTATGAATAAAAATTTACGAATGTAATAATACTAACCCGGAAGATGCTTGATGAACTTGTTGGTCATCAAGTCCTAACATTCTTGGTATACTAGGTCCCGTCAAATCAATATCAAGAATTCCCACTTTATGATCTTTTTGAGCGAGACATAATGCAAGTTGAGTGGTTATTGAACTTTTCCCTACTCCTCCTTTTCCGGAAAGTACTAAAATTATATGTTTTATTCCTGACAAATGTGTTGATTTTGTTTCTGTCTCTGTCATTATTATTTATTATTTATTATTATTATACTATTATTATCAATATTACAGCAGAATAAAAATTTAAAAGTTGTCTATCTATCATCTACATCTATATATTAATCTTTTTTTGAACAATAATGTTCACGTGCATTACACAAATTATAAGGTACCACTTTATTTAGTTCTTGAAAATGAATTACATTAAACACGTGATATAAAGATACGAATATAAATTCACTCCTCCCAACAACGTTTCCGGGATAGCCAATCTGAAGGACAATCACTAATTCCATTTGTCTAAGCGATATAAATATTATAAATAACAATAATAATAAAAAATAAATATATTATAAATAAATAATAAATAATAAATATATTATAATAAATATAACTTACTGTAATCTGATATTGTATTGTTTTTTCTTGTAAATTTGCAGATTTAATCAAATGTGCAAATCTGTAATAAATATATAATAAATATAAAAAATAAAAATAAATATAATAATTAATTAATTAATAATTAAATAAATCAAAATAATTAATAATTGAAATTAATAAAAAAATTAATAATAAAATAAATAAGGAGATCGTTAATTTGCCTCATATCATCACGCCAGTAGAGTATTATCTGGTTAGGACATTTATTATTAAAGCTATCACCTACACATAATAAATTATAAATGCATAATAAATACATATATGTATATGTATATTACAAGAAAAATATATTATATATAATATTTCTGCATTACCCAAAGCAGGAACTAAAGTTGCCTTGTCTGAACCATTCCCTGGATTTCCAAATTTGGTGGTCATTTGATTCAATAGAACAACCTAAATTTATATTATTTATATTATTTATGTTCAATTAAACTTTGTGACATGATGTATTACTTACTGCTATTTCAAATGTTTCAGCCATATTCTTCAAATCTTGAGCTATCATATTTAATAATCTTGTTCTAAGTGACATATCACTAAAATCTTGTCGAAATGGAAATGCTATTGAATCTATAACAATTAACTTAACCTTACGTATATTTTGTATGTGTGATTATTATTATTATTATTATTATTATTATTATTATTATTATTATTATTGAGTATTGTCATCAATTATCATTTATATTTATTATAAAATCTTATTCACCATTGAATGCTCTTTCAAAAATTGATCCATTATTTTAAGAAGAGCCAATAACTCTATGTAATCATGCGTTCTGAAGTAATGAATTTTAGAAAGAACAGTTTCGATATCTAAAGGTAATTCTAATATATATATATATAATAATTAAGTTAAAAATATAAACATAATAAATTAATAATATAATTAAATATACCATTTTCATCAGTAATAGATTCATTAATCTTAATTATAGTTCCGTTAGCGATTTCAGCAACACGTTGAGCAATAAAACTTCCTTCAGTATCAATATATATGGCTTCTCCTTCGGTACCCGACATACGTCGAGGTATTTGAACATTAACTGAAAGCTGAATACTACATAATTATAACATATAATATTCATATATAAAAATATACATATATAAAAATTACAATATATATATATATATATATAATTACGGTATATATATAAATAAATTACCCAAGTTGTGTTTTACCTACACCTGGAACACCACAGAATTCAGTTATTTGTCCTAAAGGAACTCCTTTCCCTCCCAACAAATTATCAAGACCATGAGAAAATGTGGTTATCTGAAATTTTTGTTTTTGTACAACTTCCGAAACTGAAACTGATGATATCTTTTCACCTATTATTATAAAAAATTAATTAATTAATTAATAAAATGATAAATAGTTAGATAATTAATAAATGTATAATAATAAAATAATTTACTCTACTTTTTATTACTTGCTGTAATATATTAAGAGCTTCCTGACTTGATATTCCTATTTCTATTTAAAAATAAATTGTAATTATAATTTGATTATAATTGTAATTGTGATTGTAAAATTGTAATTATGATTATAAAATTGTAATTAAAATTAAAAAAAAAAATTATTAAAACCATGATAATTATTGCTACCTTTACTCAATGACACAGGAGTGGTTTCTTTCAAATCTTGAACTGTCTTGTAACCTGCTTCGCGTAATTTTTTTTGTGTACTAGGGCTCATATTAATAGATGTGATTGGTCTCGCGTGAGAATGATTCATTTTTTAATTTCTTTAATTTTTTGATAATATAATATTTAAACGCGTCAAAAGAGAAATCAAAAAATAAATTATTTGGAATATCCATATTTAATATTTTGTGTTACATTTAACAAGGGATTAACAGCGTGATTAACTTTTAAAAATGTTGGGGAGTCGTGAAACATTGAAACATTAAACAATAGACTTTCAATTAAGGTTTTGTTTGTTGTTTGTTTTTAGTAAATTCAGCTGTCTCTTACAACATATCTAACACATCTACATGGTTTTTTCTTGCATTTTCCACATTTAGAGTTAGTGTTATTATTATTATTATTATTCTGGTAAAGATATCATTGGCTTGACTAATCATGTGAGACAAAAAGCACAGATTGGGCTGAATTTATTTATTTTTTAACGCCTTTCGAAAGGATTTAAAGATTTTAAAGGATTTTACCACCATTACAATTTTTAATTATTACATTTTAATATTATTACTACTTATTATTACTACCCTATTACTTTTTTAGTATTGGTTTTTATTATTACTTCTAATTATTACGTTAATTAAAATAATTTTAGTTTTTTTTTGGAAAATATGGCACCTCACCCTACAACAGATTGGATTCAATTACAAGATCGTTTCTATAGGTATTATAATAATGATGATAATGTTGGACTCTATGTATATGTGTGTACCCTTTTTTAAATAAAATTATTTAATTTCTAAGGAAACAAGAAATTTATTCCATGTCATGGAAGCACATGGATCTATCAAAATATTTAATCGCGGGTGCATCATATGGTGGACCTATAGGTATAAAGAATGATCAAGTTAAATAATTTTAGAATAATTTTAGAATAAGGTAGAATATAAGATAGAAATAGATTAAAGATGATTTTATTTATTATGATCATCATTTTTTATAGCGATGATTCGGGATGATAAAAAAGTATTATTGTTACAGAAACAACAACCTGTTAAACCTACTATATATCTTTATACCTCAGCGGGAAAATTAATTGAACAATTACAAGTTGGTTTTATTTATTATTATTTATTTATTTTTTTATTGATTTATTTTATTTTATATATTTTATTTTATTTATTTTATCTTATTATATTATTTATATTCTGTAATCTTTTTTATTATAAAAATAAATATATATATAAAATTAATATATATATATACATATTATATAATATTTTTTTTTTTCTATCTTAGTGGGATAAAGGTCGAATTATTACAATGGGTTGGACAGATAGCGAACAATTAATTGTTGTATTGGAAGACGGTGTTATTAGACTTTATGATATTCATGGTGAATACACTCAATTTTCACTTGGAAAAGTAAGTTCATAATGAAATTATCAAATATGTTAAATATGGATAATTATTACTGGTTAATCATTGATAATTATTAGGATAATTATTAAGATAATTATTAGGATAATTATTGAGTTAATTATTGGTTAATTGAAATAATTGAATTATTGAATTATATTTTTTTTTTCTTTAAAATAATAATAATAATAAAAAAAAAAAATAAAAAAAAAATAGGAAGCCAAGGATCATTCTGTAATTGATTGTCAAATTTGGGGAACTGGTTTAGTTGCTTTAACTGGTAACTTCAAATTAGTGGCACTTACTAATTTTGAAGAAATAAGACCTCGACTTATGGCTGATCCTGGTAAGTTAGAATTATTATTTATAAAATTATTTTATAATTAAGCATAATTGAGTATAATCAAGTATAATTAAGTATAATTAAACATTTTCATTATGTCATAAAAAATTTAAAAGGTTTAAATGAACCGCCTCACAGTTGGGCTGTTATTCCTCCTCAATATACACTTAGTCGACATGTGGAAGTTCTTTTAGCTACTGGTTCTACAATTTTAACTGTAGATGCTAAAGAAGCTCAAGATCAGGTTTATTATCTTTATATTATTGTTGTTGTTTTTAAAAATTCTATATCTTTAATTTATTCTATTAAATTAAATTAAATTATAAAACATTATAAACAATAATTCTTTTCAAAATAGTTACTTCAACAAGGTCCCTTTACTAAAATGGCAGTATCTCCTAATGGTATATTCTTGGCTTTATTTACCAGCGATGGTAAACTTTGGGTTGTTTCTACCGATTTTCAAAAAAATTTATCAGAATTTGCTACCAAATCTCAAGTACCACCTCAACAATTAGTATGGTAATAATAATATTATTATTATAAATATTTAAATAATTTCTTATTAATATTTATTTATTTAAAAATTAGGTGTGGAACTGATTCTGTTGTTTTGTATTGGGACAAGATTGTTCTAATGGTTGGTCCATTTGGAGATTGGATTAAATATTCTTATGATGACTCTATTTATTTAATTCCTGAAGTGGATGGCGTTCGCGTAATAAGTAGTGACAAGTGTGAATTTTTACAAAAAGTTCCAAGTACTTATCTTTTTGTTTTTACTTATTTATTTTATTTTTTATTTTATTTTTTATTTTATTTTTTATTTTATTTTTATTTTATTTTTATTGATTAAATATAAAAATATACAAATACATTATATATATATCAAATTAATTCTAATTTTTGTTAAATAATGTTGCACTTTATAAAAGATGCCACAGAAGAGATATTCAAAATCGGTAATACTGTTCCGCCTGCTATATTATTTGATGCGTTAGATCATTTCGAAGTAAGGAAATATTTAAACCAAGACAATAATTTAATTACTTGTCATTATTATTATTATTATTATTATTATTATTATTATTATTATTAATTTTTTGATTTTATTGATTTTATTAGAAAGGAAGTCCCAAAGCAGATGAAAATATTCGAATTATTCGTCCAGTTTTAGCTGATGCAGTTGATACTTGCATTGAAGCTGCTGGGCATGAATTTAATCAATATTGGCAACGCGCCTTACTTAAATCTGCTGCATTTGGTAAAGCGTTTCTCGAATCTTATAACGCCGATCGATTTGTGAGCATGTGTCAAACATTGAGAGTTTTAAATTCTGTAAGATATTATGAAATTGGTATACCAATAACTTATACACAGTAAGTAAAATAAAAGTAATATTAAATATTTATATTTCAATTCAAAACCATTAATATAATTTAAATATCTATCTAAAATATTATAATAAATCATAATATATTTTTATTAGATATTCAAAGTTAACCCCAGATGTATTGATTGATCGATTAATAAATCGTCATCATCATTTATTGGCCCTTCGAGTTTGTGAATATTTAAAGATGAGAACAGATCGAGTTCTTATTCATTGGGCTTGCGAAAAGGTAAAAATATTTCTTTTCTAGCCTAAGAATAAATTGATGATGATGATAATTGTAATTAATAATTTATTATTTTACAGATTAAAAAGTCAACGGATGATGAAGAGACAATTTGCAGGCTGATAGTAGATAAATTAGCAAATAAACCTGGTCTTTCTTATGCCGAAATTGCGAAAACGGCTTATAATGTAGGACAACCTAAGTTAGCGACAAGGGTATGTTTAATATATTGAAATGGCATAAATTTATATTTAGATTTACATTTATTTCATTTACATTTATTTCATTTATATTTATATTATTTTTTATTTATTTTAATTTTATATTTTAAGCTACTTGATTATGAGCCTCGTGCGGCTGATCAAGTGCCATTATTGATGAGCATGCAAGAAGACGAATTAGCATTAATAAAAGCAATTGAAAGTGGTGACACAGATTTAGGTTAGTAAATTAAATAATTATTAAATATATTAATAATAAATTTATTATATTAATAATAATAATTATCATTATTAATAATAATTATAATTAAAAATTCTAAATTCTATTATATAGTTTATCTTGTCATGCTTCATCTTAAAAGAAAGCTTCCATTAGGTGAATTCTTCCGAATCATTAATAATAAATTAATGGCTTGCAATTTACTCGAGGTATATTGTAAGGAACAAGATTTAAAATTATTGACTGATTTCTATTACCAAGATGATAAAAGGGTTGAAATGGCAAATATTACAATTTTAGAAAGTTATGAACAAAAGGTAATAAAAAATTAAATTGATTATTATTATTATTATTACTATTATTTGTTTTCAGTGAAAATAACAAAATGTTTAAATTATTGTTACTTATTGTTTCACCAAGGATTTGGAATCTAGAATTAATAATTTAAAAGTAGCTTTGAAATGGTATCAAGATGATAAGGAACATGCGTTTGAAGCAAAGGTAATTATTATTATTATTATTATTATTATTAGATTTTTTATTGGTTTCTTAATTTTAACAAATGACAATATTTATTTTAGGCCATAGACGAAAATATTAAATTATTACAAACACAAAGTCAACTAGAGAAAGATTTAAATTTACCATTAATTGGATTATCATTAAGTGAAACAATTCATAAATGTATTACTTCAAATAATTCCGGGAAAGCAAATAAACTTAAATCCGATTTCAAAATTCCTGATAAACGGTATTGTATAATAATCTATATACATGTGTGTGATATCTTTATTTATTTATTTATTTATTTGATTTGTTTAATTTAACATATAAAAAAATTATTATTTAAAAATAATAGATTTTGGTGGATCAAATTGAAAGCCTTGGTTGAAATGAGAGATTGGGATGAATTAGATAAACTTGCAAAATCTAAGAAATCTCCCATTGGATATGAAGTAAATATTTCTTTTTCTTTTTTCACTCCTTCATATTAACAACATATAAAATACACATATTATTGACTAAAAACTATTTTTTTTTTTTTATGATTGAAAGCCTTTTGTTGAAGAATGTATTAAAGCAGTGCAACATCGGGAAGCAACTAAATATATTCAAAAGTGTAATCCTACAGTTCGACCTGGGTTATTTATAAAAATTGGCGATTTTAAATCAGCAGGTCAAGAAGCCCTTGCATTAAAGGATGTTCAGTTATTAAGGTATCATTGTAATTGTGTTTACCTTTATATTGTATTCACCTTTATATTGTATTCATTTTTTCATTTGGAAATTTTAAATACATTATTAATAATGTTATTATCTTTTTTATAATAAACAGTGAAATAAGGAGCAAATGCAACAATCACATTATTGCACAAGAATTGGATTCATATATTGCTAAAGCATCTTCAAGATAACCTTTTTTTTTGTTATATTTTTTGTTGAATTTACTTTTGTTGTAATTTGTAATTATATTTTAAGAGAAATTTTTTTTTGTATTTTAATTTATTTTTTATATATGAAAATGTACATTAATCATCATATTTTATATATTATTATTTTTTTGATATTTTATATTACATTTGGATTTTTTATATATATACTATATAAATATATAAATATATATAGTTTCTATTATAGATAGTAAAATGTTTATATTTGAATTAGAATTAGATTTTTTTTCTGAATTTGGTTTCCTATCAAAGAATAATACTTGTATTTACAATATTCAAATATAATAATAAGTTCAATTGTAAAAATGTATTGTTAAGTTAAGTCATACATTAATTAGTGCTCTTAACAGGTTAAATCAAGTCAGATCAATTTTACAATAACTATTTATTAAAAATTATTTGCAAGTTGAATAAGATATTACCACTAAATCTTTTATTTTTTATTATTGGTAATGTATTATTTGTATTCCTACATCTAAAGGATCTAAATGCTTAGGAGTTCCATCGTCCAAAAGCCATTGTTGTTCATATGAGGCACGCATTGGAGTAGTAGAATCGGGAATGTCTCTGATTCCATTTCGACCTTTTTTTTTATCAAATTTGAGATAATTCTTATTAATTTCACGTGACATGATGATCTATATTGTAAATTGATATTAAATTTTTAAATAAAATAGAGTATGTGTTCTCTTTCGCACTTTGATATTAAGTTTTCATCCGCGAAACCGATAAACACTTGTGTTTTGGTAGGTGGGTACAAACCAAGGAAATATACAATACGTGTTTCGTAGGTGGCTATGGAAGTCGAAAATGTGTAATGCACGTTTGTAGGTGGAAAAGAAATCAACGCCGAAAAAAAATATGACTCGTAGGTGAAGATAGTTCATAGAACTTGTATTGACAAACGAACTCTTTTTGTTGACAAGCTTGGAATCATTATATATATATGTTTATATATTACTGAATGCTTTCAAAGACTATCTCTATGAAATTATGATCACTGTGATGGTATACTCGTTCCCTTTTCATTTTAGGAATGGTTCGGAAGGAATATCTTGTACGAATGAATCCGAATATTAACTAATGTTTCCACTAAAGAAAATAAAGTCGAATCTGAAGGAGGTAATGGAGATAATTATAGGATTATTGAGGGATAGGGTAGACATTGAGAAAGAGCTGCAATGAAAAAGCAATGGGTTCAAGGATATTTCGAAAAGCCAGAGTAATTAATCTCTGTAATTAAGTCTAAATAGAAAATTTCGTCATGCCTGATGGGTGTATTAATAAAATAATCCTTCGGATTATACCTGTGGTAATGTCTCGTGCAATTGAATAATTTATACGAATCATTATGATAATTTAATAGCAAAAAGACTTCACATACCTCAACACTATTTTCTCTAAAAAATGGCACTTATTTTTAACCATTTATAAGAAGTAAAATTATATTTTTCCTTTTTTTTCAGTAATATTATAATGACCATTCTTAAATAAAATAATTTAAAATAAAGATAATTTCAATACTTCTTTCAAAGTTTATTATTTATTCATTAAGGAAATATTACAAATTATAAAAAAAATATTACAAATTATAAAAAAAAATATTACAAATTATAAAAAAAAATATTACAAATTATAAAAAAAATATATTTAAATATTTTTCTTTTTCTATTTTCCGCTTTTCCATCAAAAAATTTTAAAACACTTACATTATTCTACAAGATAGAGTAAACCTTCTTTCTTCGGTACCTACAAAATAGAAAACGCGTACCTCAAAATCCCAGTAATCTTCTAAATCTTCTTTCTTCTGTACCTACAAAATAGAGTAAACCTTCTTTCTTCTGTACCTACAAAATAGAAAACGCGTACCTCAAATCCAAGTATATCGTCCTAATAATATGGAAAATAAAAATAAAAAATAAAGGTTAATATTTATAATAAAAATAAAGGTTAACATTTATAATAAAAAATTCAAAGATTAGGAAAAGCGGAAAAAATAAAGAAAAAAGTGAGAAAGTGAAATTAAGCGGGAAGAAAAGTGAGGGTTTAAATAGAGTAAAAAGTGAGGTTTTAAATAGGGTGAAAAAAGTACTCATAGGCGCAAACAACCCTAATTTTTTTAAGGCCCAAAATTTTGTAAACATAAATATCATTTGATTTGATGACGTAAACAAACTTTTACGTGCAATATTATTTTTTTCTACACGTGTATTAACCATGTCTTCTAAAAATTAATCAAAATGATACTAGGGTTGGGATTACTGTACGCGTACAAGTAATACAATCTGAATCATTCATAATCACATGATTTTTTATCACTGTACAAAGCTAAGATTCTAAGTAAAATGATACAACCCTACATACATATGCATATACTATTATAAAAGAAGGATTCTATCCTTTACTATCTTTATTATCATCATTATTATAAGATAGGTGATTTGTTATTCTTGAAAACTGACTTCCTTTCATTTTTTCTGGTGTATTATCAACCTTATCAATATTGTCAACCTCTTCAACCTTGTCAGAATTTCCGCGCTTATTTGGTTTCCAAAATAACGCGTTCTTTTTTTATCCCCTATACATTTTTTGTTTTTTATCGTTTTTGTGGCAAATGATATATTGTGAAATTTTAGATTAATTGCCGATCCGCCACTAAGTGGTACAAAATAATTAACAAAACCGAAAAGCACAACACTATTGACATTATTATTTTGTTTATTAAAGTAAAATTCAAAATTATATTAATTATATTGAACTTTCTTTTATTAATATTATTTAATAAGAATAATAATCCAGTAAAGAATCTAAGATGATTTGCACGTGTTGTATACAGAACAAAAAAGAGAACAAAAAAAACGAATAGACGATACATTTCTAAAATACTTTTTTTTTTTTTTTGTCGAGAATTATCAAAATTTCTACTTTAAATTTGGCATTTTATATTTGATAATTAATCTTTGACGAATTAAAATGAATTATTTCAATGATAATTTTATAAATAATTGTAATAATCAACATTAAATATTATCTATTGGAATATAAAATAAAGTTAAAGAAAAATAAATTAATATTTCAAATTAATTGATCATAGGATTTATATTAATAAATCTTTTCTGTTAATAATTTATTAAGTTTAGTAATTCTAGAAGCAACAGATAAATCAATTGTTTTGTCTTCAAGTTCAATCATCAAGCCATCCAAGCCACCTAGAGCTGAGGGATTCGTCTAAGAAATAATATAGTGAATAAATACAGAATAACGCATAAATGAAATGAATCAAAAGTTTGCTTTTATTAAGTGCTGCTTTTAATTGTGTTACCTTTGCAGATGTGATCGTAACAGGAATTTCACCACGACAAGCGGTCATCAATGATATAATAAGCATCAATAATCTTTGAAGACTCATTAAGCCTTCCATTATCAGCCAATAAATCAAACAAATTTTTGGAGGTATCACAATATTTCCCTTGTTTAAGAAGTTCTTGAACAGTACGTTTTCTTATCATTCCGATTCAAGTACGAATTTTACTATCCCTGTTAATTATTGATTTTATTTGTTTAATTTCATTCTCAACATTGATAAGAGTAGAGTATTTGACTTGATGGTTGATGTGTATAAAGCAGTTGCACATCGGCCTTCGAGACCATAAAATGTCAAGGGAGGCTGAGAAAAAATAATAACAATAATAAATAAATAATAATTTACCTTAACGGCAAAGTTTCGAATCAACTAAAAAAAAAATGCAATTGTAAAATATAAAGTATTTAATTTAATTTAACTAATTCTATTCATTAAAATTTTAACTCGAAAAACAGTTATATCCTTACCAAAAGTACATTTGTAAGTGAACTAGTTAAATTCAATAGACATTTTTTTATTTTGGATTTCTTTAATATTCTAAGTAATGAAGTGAAAGCATTTCAAATTGGAAGACCTCTATATTATCGGTACGTTACTTCGATGAAAGTTTCGCTGGCCATTATGTCAAAATATCTCTCAAAGAAAGCGCATTACGAATTATTTCATCTTCCTTGAACTAGAAAGATAGGATGCACGACGACTTCGTCGTCGCTGGGATTATCATGTGCAAATGTGTTACATCTTTAAATTTATTTAAATTTTTAAATTGTTAATAATTTTTTTTATTAATAAAAATTCGTGGCAACTAAATTTGAATAAACATATTAATATATTTTATTATTATTCAAAGATTTAATTAATGATGCCCTTGCAAGGTTCTGGAGAGAGCTAATGGTTGGGAAGCTCTTGTTTCTAATCGTTTATATTCCTTGATCATGGATTCATCTACAATAAAATGCTGCCTTGTCCAACGATTTGATTTTAACATTATCCCAATTACTGCATCTACTTAAAGCAACGTAAGCTTGGCCTCAAACATTTGGGTATCAAGATTTACTGATATGTTAGGTAAGGTTAATCCCTGAACTTTGTGAACCGTTGGTGCATAGACATTAATAATAGGGTATTGGGTTCTACTCGCTGAAGCTCTATTGATGAGAAAGAATGATGTGCATTTTTTATAATTGTGTCAGCAATTCCCACATTTGAATACAAAAATTTTAATTGGCCGTGACGTAAACTATACAGTACCATAGTCAATTAAAATATGAAATGACGAACAATGGAATCCAAGCATGTGATATATGTGATAAATAAATTTCAGGCAGGCGACTTTATCACCTGCTTGTCATTCAATTATGTGCTACAACATTGTGCTTTTTTCATATATATATAAAAAAAGCTCTTATCGCTGAAAAAATACTATACGTCTAAATATAACCAATACGTCCAAGATAATCAACTTCACGAAATGGAATCGTTAAGTACATTGAAGACCTCGCCGATTCAAATTGCCACTACTAACGTCTTAACGCTGGTATGGAAGCAAAAGCTTTTAATTTTCTTCTGTACTTTCTTTTTTCTCACACTCAATATATCAAAAAAATTTCTGCTTTTAGGCCAACATAGGCAGTGTCTGTTGGCGCAAGTATACATATACTTGCCCTGCCGAAAAACTCCGCTCCTTAATAACTTCCGCCTCTCCAGACTCTAACTCGTCGACAATGGACGATTCCATTGCGTCAAATTACTTAACATTGCTAGACACAGGAATCCCCTGTATCTGGCAATACAATTTTGAAAAAAACTTTGACGTTATCTTCACGGAAATCAATACAATACAAAGGGATCTATGGATCTTCTGGCTCGGGAAGGATGAAAAAGACTTCCCATATAATTTAAATAACTTAAATAATTTAAAAGGTATATAGATTTAATAAACTTTAATAAAGTTTTGTTTCTTTTATGCTTAATTAACTAAGAAATATTTACAAAATATATAGATTTAATACACAGCGAGGAAGGGTTCTTCACCTGGGAAACGATTGAAATCTCCACTACGCTATATAACCTATTCATAAAATCAATAAAAAATTTGATAAGCAGGTAAAATCAATGTTCTATACATTGAATTTAATTGTTGATAAATTTTTGATATATTCATTTATTTTGTTTTACTTTAAAGGTCGTTAACAAAGAAAGGTGTAATCCCGTTAGGCGATTGGCACGTTTTTTCAAGCAGTATGCAAAAAGTTTACGAAAGGTAATTTAAAAAAAAAAAAGTTATCAATAATAACACGAAATCAATGAATTATAACAAATCATATTTATTTTCAATAGTTTACTTTGCTGCAAATATAATGTACATTTGGCTGCGACAAATTTAATTGTCCAGCCAATCGTCAAATATAAAAGTCTACGGCAATTGGAACAAAGCGACTTAGAAACACCGGAGAACACGCAAGCAGTGCTGGCACCATCTGGCCTAAGGGCCAATTTATTATCAATTAAAAATTATAATGAAGAAGATGTTTCGACGATTTTGAATGAATTCAAATCGCTTTTTAACATTAACGTAACAACAAAACCTGGTGCAGAAAACTCATATTTGCCTCCATTGGTTCAAGTATCAATAACGAAGGATGGAATAACGAAAGAGTTTCCGTACCCATCACAATGTGTATATATAATCACTGAGGGCAATATGAGTAATCAACATGGGATCCATGATCTCGGAATGGGTCCCATATTATGGGAAAAATTGGGAGATACTAAAAATCTCCAAACAACAAATGATAAGCCGGATGATGTTAATTGGTGGCAGTGCATTGACCCACTACATGAAGTGAAATCTATTCTTTCACAAAAGAATTTTCACGATGTAAATGTGTCGTCACCAACCGGACTAGAAGTGACAATGACTCCCAATACACCCGGAATGATAAATGTACATTCAAGTGCGAGTTCTCCTGGACGCCCTATGACACGATCTAAAAAGAAACCAGTGGGCGATACTAAAGCGTACCCATCTCCGCCAGACGCAATTCAACCGATATCAACTGAATTGATTATGCCTCCTCCAACCAGCGAGGATATGCCTAATTCAAATGACGAAATGATTAATATCAATCCAGACTTTGAACTTCAGGACTATGATCTTGACATATTTGATCCGTTGGAAGAAGCGGTGACGGACGACGACTTCAAAAGCTTTGACATAAATGAGGTATATGTTATTTTTCGTTTACCGAATTATATTTTGTAATAAATAAATAAATTAATTTAATAAATAAATAATCTTTTGTTTCATTAGCCTTTTATACAGGCTCAGACTTCGTTAAATTATTTAACGCCCGCGCCAGAGGCTTCAGCCTCAACAATTATCAGAGAGCCTACCGAGGTTCAATCTGTGAATCCATCAAAGGAAACGAAGAATCGAGTGAATGTGATATGTGTGCAAGTCGAGAAAACAAACCAATTGATTCCGGTTGACTATATGCCATTAAAATTCATAAATAATGTCGACGAAACAAAATATCTTCCGGGTGGGAAATTTTATCAGCTTCATAATCGTAAAAAACGCAAGAGGATTTCGTATGGTCCGGATTTAATAAGTTTTAAGAAGCCTAAAAACGCATGGATTTCAATGTCCAATAAAAATAAACGTGACAATTCTGATAATGAGTATGAAACCGGAAGTGAAGCCACATGTTCAACTTGTTCGGATAGCGACTCCGACAGTTCTGATTTTGAAACTGTGAAAGCCGCCGCAAACATCTATATTAGAAATTCTCGTAATCTAGAATTTATAAATGCTGGACGTTTAACATTGATCATTGATCTTCACGGTCTTCATAATAAACGTCAACTTCGTTCTGTAAATGAATACGAGTCAAGAGAACTTATAACAGAAACTACACGCTTTAGCCTAAGGGAACAAGCAGTATTGGGTTTATACCCATCTGGTGTTGGAGTTAATGGAGAAGGAGAAAGCACTTATGAATTTCTCGAAACCCATAGAAGTCTTGTTGAGAATTTAAGTGGTGGTATGAATTATGAATTTATTTTCACTTAGATAGTTATAATATTCAAAAAATTAAACAACTTTGATCATTTAACAGAATTGTCAACCGCATCTGCACTCCCATTCGAAATAGACAAAGCTATTTATGATTTTAAGAACGCATTGGTTGATATATCAGATAGATTGCCAAAACAAGAAAATCACGCAAAATTGAAAGTCAATGGACCACTTACTGTTCAAGATTATTGCAATCTTAATGGTAATTTTGAATTTCTTTTTTTTTTAAAAAAAAAAAAAACTTTGACAGTTTTTTAATAAAATTAAAATTTGAATATTCTTATGTTTTGATCAACTATTTTCACAAATTATTTCAGGCGAGCCAACTGAAGAGGAAGAAGTTGAAGAAGTTAAAGTTCATAATTTTCAAGAATTTTCGACTCCTGACATAATTGCGAGTGCAGAAGATTATTTAATTGAAACACCACCTCAGATTATCAAATATTGGGATACCCACAATTTAACTCCATATGATGGAGCGAAAAATGTGATCTATTTCGTTCTTTATCTCGAATCTGAACCCCATCATCTACGTAAACAAGTAGAATTCTTTATTGATGAGCTACGAGTGCAGTATGATGTAAGGAGATATATTTAATTGTATAATTAAAAAAAAAAAAAAATTTTTTTCTGAAGGGTTCGATTATTTGATGATAATAATAATTATTATTATTACTATTATTTATAGCATTTTTGCTCATTGGGAACCCACGAGCCCGCGCCCGCGCCCTCTCCCACGTTTAACGTAGTTCGGGGTCTTGTGCCGATACAATTATCAAAACGTAATATTTATAAATCAATAATTTGATTAATACAGTTAAAAATTATAATAATTTCTTTAATATTGATTTTTTTTTTTTTTGAATTTAGTGAATCATGCGGCTACTTTAAATGAATCAGAGTTAGATTATCAGATTCGTCAGTTTTCATCTATATGTGAAAAATTCGGCAAACTTTTAGTCAATATTGTTAGTCAGTTCGAAAATAAATACCTGGTGATTTATTTGGTAAATCCTTGGAATCATTTATCCTCCAATTTTGATATATTCCATAGTTTTGCCAAACTTCGGACTAGCTTTAAGGATAGTTTAAGAAACAGAAATCTCAACCCCAAAGTATTAGATTTTATATTTCCTCAAGTTATTCCCATAGATCACATCATAAGATATAGTGGTAAATCGTTTAAACGCAAGTCGTTAATTAAGGAGTTAGCATTTACCGTGTATACCAAATCACGGGTAAGGATATATTAATTAAATCATTTGTTTGAGTTGAATTTAAATTTTTTTTTTCTAATGGTTATAATTTTAATATCTTTTATTCTAGAATTATCAATCTCCATTCATTTTGCCCAAGCCATCAGTGGTTTCCGTTGAATTTAAATTGACTAAGAGACCACCACCTTTAAAAGAAATTATTACTTACGATACGGTCCTACAAATGGCGTACGGATATAGTTTTGATCAACGTCTATTAATAATTGTCTGGGTAGACATGCAAGGACATCATATCGGTAGTGATATACTACATACATCAACGAAATCACAGGTTGTTCCCAAAGCGGACTTATTTAAAAAAGCCTGGAATCGAACAGTTGAGTTCCGTCATAAAACGATAGAAGAATATAGACGAATAATTGTCACAAAGGTTGGAATAATGTCTAAAGAAGAGAAAGAATGTAAGTTTTTTGTACATATTATTTTCTTTAATAATAATAATAATATTGTAATTATTATTACTAACTAATAATTATTTGTTAATTCATAAAATTTTATTTTTTAATTTTAGCGTGGCTGCAAATAACTGAAGGAAAAGTATCACTTCTTTCAGTTGATATTGAATCAAACTTTTCCATTGATCCTATCATCGAGGTTAGATCACCGAAACTTAAAATATGTGGAATGGTATTAAACAAACCAATACCACTTAAAGAATATTTACCGATGGCTACCGGATATTTGCTTGAATCGGATATAAATGAAATCGTATCTAATGCAATTCAGGTAAAATAATGATTTATTGTTATATTTATTTATTATTTATTTATAATTTTTATTGTTGAAAATTTTTATGAATAAATTAATTCAAACTAAACGGAATTAATAATATTTATATAATTTAACTTTTTCAGGTTGATTTAATTCATTATCCTCAAAAAGATGAAAATTATACATCAGCCATATCAACTTTATGGGATATATTAAAACAATTCAATACACTCACTTATATGGAGGTTACACCCATTCGTGCATGTCTTCCTTATCACGTGGTATCAATTGAACGATTAGCACGAGCCTTTGTTGGTTCTCCCACATAAAAATAAAGATCGTGAAGGTATGTGATAACCGTGATGACCATATGAACATAACGAAACATATAGAAGATTTTTTTTTTTGTCAAATTACAAGAACGATTTGTCAAATAACTGTATCATATATTATATCTACATTATTTCTTTTTTTTTTTATTTCTTTTTTATTCATTTCCTTTTTATTTCTTTTTCGTATTAGCATTTATAAAAATTTTATTACCAAATTTAATGCATTGGTTGCATTGATTTATTAATAATTTTCTTTTTTTTTAAATTAAAAAAAAATTAACCTACAATATTTGATATAATTTTTTTATTTTTATTATTTTTATGCATTGCATACTTAAACATGTCTATTAAGCATGTCTACTTTTAAGCACGTTCAGTCTTTTCATTTTATTGTATATATAATTCCTATAATTCTTATAATTCTCTAGAACAATTTTATTATTGTATTAATCTTGGCTGATTTTATTCTATTATTATTATTTATTATAATTTTTTTTTTATTATTAAAATGTTATAATGATGGAATATAAGAAGGCATATTATATTACAAATTATTACAATTATTACAATTATTACAATTATTACAATTTTTTATTATTAAAATTTATTCGATCATAATTTAAGTAAATTAAATTGTAACTTAATATAGAAAAATGCACAAATCAAAGATTTCAAGATTTCTTGAAATCAAATCAATATTAAAGAAAAATAAAAATAAAAATAAAAATTTGATGATAAAAAATATTATATTATATAATGATTTACATATTTTCATAATATAATATCTTATCTAATAATTTCTATATTTTCACCAAAAATTATTTCCCAGAATTATTATTTTTCTTATTTCTCTTTTATAAACAAAAAATATAAATAAATAATAATTATAATAATTCCATCTATTGTTACAATTGTTACACATATAATAATAATAATAATAATAATAATAATATTTTCATCATCATCATTATGCATGCCACGTTTTTTTAACAAGTTCAACCAAACCTACGTCATTAGTATTAAACTCATAACAACCATAAAGGACTGTTAATGTAGCTAATCTTAAACCCCAAGTTGAAATCTTATTTATTACTGGCATTCTGCGGGCTGGTAAATAATCAGTGATCACTGCGTCAAATCCAATGTGACAATGAATTGGAATAATAATACCAAAGAAAAGATCGGTGATTGGATGTGCACCTTTTACAACTGAAGCAATAGTTAAAGGAATTAATGATACTGATAAAAGTCGTTCAAAATCCCAATGATATGATCCTAAAACTTTATCTCTTGGAGGAAGTGTAACAGCATCATTTACGCTTCCTTTGATAAATGCTTGTAAAAATAAATAAAAATAAATGTTAATAAATAATATTATAATCATGAATAATAAAATAATATAATAATAATAATAATAATAATAATAACAACAATATTTGTTAATAATAAAATGCTTACTAGAACCATCCGCTAGATGTTTAGTAGCATGAAATCCACTGGCATGACCTATAAAAAATTTTTTTTTGGGAATTTCAGAAAGGTCAAATTTCGCATTATTAAAAAAAACAATAATGTAACATAACGCTTACCAACGCGACTCTTAATGTTTGGTGTCCAGCGAAAAGAATGTATAGTGGGACGAATTAAACGTGGAAATGTGTTATTGAGACCAAAAGACATATTGAAGATTATTAAAATTGATATAATAATTTATAAAAAAAATTATCTTAATCATCTAATAAAGATAACACATGTATCATAGATTTTTTGTATCAGCACGTGACAAAAAATATATATAAAAAGAAGCAATTGAAGAATTATAAGGAATTATAATAAAATTTACGAAATGGAAGTTTATGGACCATCGATTATCGTACCTTCAAGCCTTGCTTATTTTTGTGTTTATAACCCTACTTTTGGACCTACCGAAGAAACGCAAAAAGATCAATTATTGTATTATGTAGCAAAGAAGACCGTTCCTATGGATGTTAAAATACGTCAAATAGGTTTGGCACAAGGTTTAATACATTTTACAAGGTTAGCTTTTTCGTTTTAAAGGTCTGTGATAATAAATATATAACATATGATAAAATTATTTCCATGTAATATTTTCATATAATTATATTTCACTCTATAACTGTAATATATTATTTTTATTTAAATTTATTTTAAATATATATATATATATATATAATTTTTTTTTATTGTCCATTTTTAGAGTATTTTCACCTTCCAAACCTTGCGAAAATGTTCATACACAAAAAAATCGACTTGCATTTTATGAACCTGAACCAAATTATTGGATTCATATAGTAAGCAATATTCATTAATATTATTAATTTTATAGTAAGCAATATTCATTAATATTTAATTTATTAATTTTTTGATTTTCGATTTGTATTATTAATAATAATATTTTTTTTTTATATATTTTTATATTTTTATATTTTTATGATTACATTTTTATGAATAAAGTCAATCGAATTAAGTCACATTAAAAAAATCATCAAGGACAAAGATGGGAAACCTAAAACTATTGTTGAATATCTTGATTCAAATTTACATGATTCAGGAATAAAAAGAATGCTTCAATTGGGTTATGGAATGTACAAGGTTAATAATAATAATAATAATAATAATAATAATAATAATAAAGATTTAATAAAATTTTTATTTTTAGATGTTCAATGGACCATTTGACATGACAGTTCATACTTCTGGTATCAAAACATTAAAAAATAAATTAGAAGAATTCTTTGCAAATTGGGTTTTTAATTGGGATTTTGATAAAATGGATATTACAAAGACAATTGATGGTTAGTTATAAATATTTAAATATTCCAAAGGTATATGAATTTACAATTTTTAACATTTTTTTTAGGTACTTCCTATTTACCACTCTCTTCTTCTGCTCGAAAACAAATTACATCTTTTATGGACAAATTTCAGTCAGAATATAATTTTATTTCAGATATTCTTATATTAAAGAACAATATGTTAGTATCTAGCATCAAAAAAATAATAACAGAAGATGAGATCAAAGAAATATTGCGATATTTATTTCCTTTGATATTAGAAAGAAAAAAACTTGAAAATGAAATCGAAAAACAAAAAAAAGCCAATAGAGAAGGGGAAAAAGTCTGTTGTTAAAAAAATTTTTTTTTTTTTTTGGTTGGAGGTGATTTATATTGATTTTTCTATGATTTTTTAATTATATATAAAAAAAATTAATTTATAAAAATAAAAATTTATTTATTTATTATTTTTATAGTTTTATACATTTAAAGATTTTACAAGAACTTTATCCGGGAGTAATCTTTTTACATTTTTTTCATCATCAACCTCCACCTCCACTTCCACCTCCACTACCACACCAAAAGGTTCATCAAGTTTGTCACCAACTAATAATAATACAGAAATATCGAATTCAACCTTTTTGTCACCACCTCTTTCTACTCCTCTTCCTTCATCATCTTCACCTTCGCCTTTATCAATATCAAATTTTCTGATAGGCCCACAAAATTTACAAGGTGATACTGATGGTGTTAATGAAGAAGAGATCAAACCAACTACAATTTATTTAAGTAAAAAATCAATAGAAAAAAAGATAAATGAAGAATATACATATGATGTTGATGAATATTATCTCTTGTCATATAAGGTGTGATAAATTGGTTTCTTTATTTCTAAAGATTATTCAACAATTACATACAATTAAATAATTTATTTATATATAAATATTTGTATGTATACTTTTTATTAGCAAAATTCTATCACAATAGTCTTCTTAATACCACATTCTTCTTTGGAAGGTTCCAAAAAGATTCATGATATAACTTTTTATAGATCTATTGATACTTATCTATCTTCGCAAACAGAAGATTTAATCAACATATTGAATGAAGAAGAAGAACGTACAAGAACAATTGGGTATTTATTTATTAATTCTTTTTATTGTTGTATATTTTTTGTTAATACATTCTTATATATTTGAAATATTTAAATATATTTAAAATATTTGATATATTTAATACATTTTAATATATTTTAATATATTTATATATTATATTTATTAGGATTGAAATAGACAAGGAATATCGTTATCTCTTATTTAACAAGATAACTTTAGCTGTCAAATCTTCACTATATATAAATAACATCACCTATCCTTCTTCTTCTTCTTCTTCTTCAAATAATAATAATAATAATATCACATATAATAATGAAATGTTACCACCAAAAGGTTTGACAATTACAAATGAAATGGCACATTCATTATGTGATTTATATGAAGATCTTGAAAAGTGAGTATTATCAACTTACTTTATTTCTCTTTTCTATTTATCGGGAGTTGATGAAAATGACATTAAATTTTAATAATTATTAATAATTACTTTATTTATTAGATTTCCACGTATAACAGATATATATACTCGATCATCAAGCAATTTTTGGATTGTTGGTAAAAGAATTGATACACGAATTTTGTATGTTGTGGTGCCTAAAAAAGAATCATCACTTACAGAAGTTGAAGGTAATACTTTTTTATTATTATTATTATTATTATTATTATTATCAAATTCATCAAAATTTATTATTATTATTATTATTATTATCAAAATTCATCAAAATTTATTGTTATTATTTATTATTATTATTTTAGAGGATGTCCGAAAGTTAATTTCACTATATTTTTCTGGGACTCTTACAGATAATTTTGATTAAGTTAGTGGAAACTTTAATTTTCTATATGTAACATTATTTCCATTTATTTTATAAATTTCCAAATGTATATTATTTATATTATTTAGAATTTTTATTTATTTTAATAATAATCATCATTATTTTATATTATATGAATAGAATGAAATTTAATAATAATTATTTTTTCTTTAATATTTAATAATTTTTTCTTTAATATAAAATCATATTTCAAAAAAAAAAAATTAATAAATTTTTATTTGATTAAATAATATTTTTTTTTTTTTATAATTATATTGTTTATATTGTTTACAAAATTTTTTCTTCCTCTTCTCTTTTTAAAAAAAAAACATAATAAATATAATAATAATTCACTTACCTACTACTAATAATACACTTCTTAATTAATTATTTTTCATCATGTGAAATCTTTTTTATCAAATTTTAAATTTGTTTTAATAAATTTTTCTTTAATGTAATCACACATTGTTCTTAAATCTTCAAGGCCTTTACTCAATGCTTCAATTGCAGTAATATTTTCTTTTTAATTAATTAATTAATAAAAATAAGTAAATTTTAAATTTTAAAAATTAATTCCATATGATTTTAAATTAATTAATTAATAAAATTTAATTTAATTTAATTCACCAGTAGTTTGAATACGTAAATTAAGCTTTTCTTCTGATGGATGTGGAATTGAATAACCACAATATTCTACTTCTGGACTAAAATTATTTATTTTTTATTATTATTATTATTATTATTATTATTATTATGTTAACTGAAAATTTAAAAGAAAATAACGAAAATAAACTTACTTTAACATTATCGTATAACGTAAAGCATTCCCTAAAGTATGATCTTCACCAATTATAGTAAAAGTTACACTTCTGGGATCTGAGACTGTACCTTTATCAGTTTTCTAAGATTAAAAAAAAATGAATAATTTGAATAATTTTAAATAAATTTAATTAATTTAATTTGTTAAAATATATATATAAAATGCAAAAATAAAAAAAATAAAGTTAGAAATAATAATAATTAGTTAAAATAGTTACAAAATCTAAAATATCATCGATTATTTCAGGTGTAGGTTGTTCTTGTTCTGCTTCTGAATTCTCCGTTTCCATTAATTCCACTGAGAGAAAAAAAAAAACCTCCGGAAAAATTTTATATTTGATGAATCGATTTATCAGATAAATATTAGAAAGTGCACCGTAAATCACAAAAAAAAAAAAATATACAATTTAAGTTTAGATAAATTTTTAAGTTGAAACTTTACTTATTATCGATCACTTTAATTTTATCTGTTAAAATATATAAATTTAATAAAATTTAAATAATTTTTTATTTTGACAAAAATTTTTACATCTAAAGAATTTTTATATAATATATATTTAATAATATTGTTAATTAAATAAAAAACTAAATAATAATAATAATAATACTAATAATAATAATAAATAATAATACTTATTTTTGAATGTAACAATTTACAAATAAATGAAAATAATTACTTCTTACAATAGAAAAAAAAATTTTTATAGTCTTTTCCAAAATAAATTTGTAAATGCCGAATCCCAAACCCAAACCCCCAAATCCCAATAATAATACTTAAATAATTTTGAAAATGTTCATTTTCTTAAAGAATTTCTTTTTTTTTATTTTCTCCTTATAAAGAGTTTTCGATAATGATAATAAAATTTCAAAGAGTTTTTTTTTTTCAAATAATTTAATGCGTCAAACGTAACGTTTCGGGTATCTCTTTATTTCGTTTCGTAATGAACCATTTAAAATATTCATAAACCGACCAACAAATAGCTGTTGATGGCATATGAGCTAATACTCTTGGTTTCATCCCTCTTGTAAATCCTGTTAATCCATATTTTTCATAAATGTATTTAAATGCTTCTGATAATCCATTACAATTCCGTACACGTAAATCTGAAGAATTTCCTCTAGTTTGTAATAAAGTTTTAGCTACATCTAATGGAGTGGTGGCAGCAGCAGCTATTGCACCAGCTAATCCTCCAGCTATCACATGAGTTTTTGGATCATAATTTCCACCAGGGTTTAAAACTTTACGAAAATATTCATATGAACTAAATTGAAATACTTGAAATGGAATTGTCATTGTGAGCGTAGTTGGATAAGATACATAAAATGCTATTAATCCTTCCTTGGCGTATACAGTACGAGCGCAATCTAGAACATTTCTATATGCTGACCCATGAACCTGTAATCGTTGTTTGATCACTATTAAGAATGAGAAAAATATAAAATAATTATATATATTAATTTATTTGTTTAGATTATTTTTAGATTATTTTAGATAGAGAAGAAATTCTTACCATCAAATGGATTCATTAATGCATCACTCGCTATTGTCGCGCATGCTCCAGCTGCTCCTATAAAAAGATGTTAAAAATAATTATATTTAATAATAATAATAATTAAAAATTGAATTCTTATAAAAGAGAAATACTTATTAAATAATAATAATGATTTCTTACCATGAGCAATTGGATGATGCCCTTCTCCTATATTAGCACCAAATAGATCTTTACATATTTCATAAGTTCCAAAGTATAAAGCATGTGCTGGACCTGCACCTAAAACTACAGAGTTAACACCCCGCCATAAGGTTCGAACCCCTTCAGTTGTATAAATACGAGAAAAAGCGTTCGCAACACCAGTATATACGGCTTGAGGAGTTGGATTTATTATTTGCATGCGAGTCTATAAAAAAAAATCATAAAATCCATAAAATTGTTAAATGATATCTTTAAAATGTTTTTTTTTTTTTTTAAAAAAAAAAAAAAAAAAAAAAAGAATGTTTATAATAATAATGAAATATTAAATTTTTATTAAATAAATCTAATTTTCTTGATTTTTTATTTTGACATACCTTTATACTATCTACTGGATACATTACAGTATGTTCACCGATTCCAGCCAAGGCACCAGCTGTCAAATTCACGGCTAATGAAGAATTTTTCGGTAAAGCTTCATAATCGTGATCCTGGTCTAATATTTCAGACATATCTAAAGAAAAATTCATATGGGGAAAGAAAATGGAAACGATAAAAAAAGAATAAAACGTAAAGAATTATATTTAATTTTGACTTTGAGAAAAAAGTGTCCTGGAAGATAAAAAGTTGTAATTTAAATCTGATATCCCTAATTAAAAAAACGTGTGGATTATATATATATCAATAATATATGTAATAGTACAATATCTGATAAGTGCATATATAGTTAATATCAATAAGAAGCATAATAATAATTATTAATAATAATTATTATTATTAATTAATAATAGATGATAAACTAACAACAATCCTTATCAGTTTTACCTGCATCAGTTTTTTTTTTTTTTGCATTATCAATGACCTAATTAATAAAATAAAAAAGATCTTTTTTTTTTTCGTGTTTGATTGACTTTTCCTTATAGTTATTTATAGTTAAGTAATTATAGGTGATCATAAGTAACGATAGGTACATATTAAATTAATAAATTAATGCTTTTAGGGATAACTTTTAGGATACTTTTAGTTATACGTGTATTACATCTATTACATCAATCCAAATTTCTGGTAAATTTATTTGAACGAATCAAGTAATTAATTAATTATTAATCAACGAAGATTAGGTGTCTATAATTGGTTGTTTCCGTTTTCTATCAATTAAAAGATATCGGTCATAAATTTACATTTTTAAATTTTTAAATTTTTTAATGTGCTCTATATATATATATATATATTTATTTATTTATTCATTTTTATATTTATATATTATTATTAAATATATATATATATATTTTACATGTAATAATTAAGTTATCAATCTCATCAATTTTCAGCAATTTTATTTTTTTACTTTTTTGATTATAACAATTATAAAAATTAAGATTATCCTTATTTTTTTATATTAATAATAATGTTAATTAATAATAATAATATTAATAAAAAAAAATATCATCATCAAATAAAAGAATTTAACAATTTAAAATGGGATTTATTCTATGGCATCACTAAAGATTTAGATATTATTATATTATATTATTATTTTTATATCAACAATTATGTGATTTGGAAGTTTGTCTAGTGGTAATCCTCTTTTTAAAATGAAATCCTCGTTAAATGTTGATTTTATTAAACAATATTGCAAATTGCAAAAGGAAAATGTGAAAGGATATATCTGAAACACCTCATAAATATAAAGATATATATATATATATATTACAAAAGTGCGCATTTATGAATTTAGAGAGAGTAAATTTTATGTTATTATGTATGGAACTGGAGCATAGGGTGCATTTAGAGAAGGAATACATTTATAGAAATTAATGGGTATAACCTAACTAGTTCACGTGAAATCAGTGCACTAATTACATTGATAAAAAGCGCAAAATATTTGACGATTGGAACAAAATATGCATTTGACAAAAAGGATTTTCGAGAATAACTTTTGCAATATAAATAATATAAATAATATAAATTCTTTTTAAAATATTATTAAAACTAAAAAATGTGAAATTTAAATTTGAATTTTTTTAGTTTGCGGAACTATAAAAAGAATTGATAAGGGGTAAAATCATTAACTGTTGACGTATTAAACAAACAAACATAAATTAACTACTTATATAGTTACAAAGATCACCATTTTAGATTGCCAAAAATTCCTTTTTTTTAACGCGTTCAATTTCTCAATTTCACATATATTACATATTTCGTATTTCTTACTCGGGCATTTGATAAAAGTAAAATCTCTAAATCTGTTTTTCACCAACTTATTTGTCTATATTCATTAAAAAATGGATGAAGGTATGACAACCAGCAAAGAATACTTTATTTATTTTCGAAAAAATTAATTCACATCTAAGTGTTCATTTTTATTAGAACTTATAATTCGTGACAGACTTGCGGTGGAAGAGCGTACTCTTCGTCGAGTCACTCGCAAACATGCAACCTTCATCAGTTTCCTGGAACAAGGAAACCTTAAAGAGGCGTAAGTATTACTAATTGGATACTTTCAAATATATATACATATTAAGATACTTTATCAATTAAATTAAATTAATTTAATATTATTATTTTTACAGAAGACAAAATTATAATGAGTTCTTGGTTGATTTTTCAACCTATGAACTTTCTCTTGCCCGATTTCAAATTATTCATGACATGAATATTCGAGAAGCACGACATTGGGAAGGAGAAGCCAAGAAGATTGGTATGAAATCGTTTACCGACATATAATTTATAAAATATATATGTAAAGAATTTACATTTTTTGTATCTAATTTTTTTATTTTTTATTTTTTATCTTTTATTATTATTGTTCTTCTTCTTCTAAATTAGAAAAGGAAATCGAGGAGATTAAAAAAGTGATCGAAAAGTTGGAGAAGGAATTAAAAGAGGAGGAGGAAATACGCAAGAATAAAGTAGAATACGATCTCTTGGCTACAGAAATCAACGAACATCAAACGAGAGATGAATCGATAGAGTAAGAGTTTCATTTATGAATAAATATTTATATTATATTTTATATATTATATATTTTAATATATTTATTTATTTATTTATTTATTTTTTCAGAGAAATAATCGTATTAGATGATGAAATTAAATCACTCGAAGAAAAAGAAAAAATAATTGACGAAATTATGAAGCGTAGATATTCACAAATTGAACGAATTTTGTCCGTGGTTTCAGAAATACAAACTGAAATTCAGGTGGACCACGAACAATATAGATCTATTCTTGTCGATAATGAAGAACTCGTTATTACGCCTGAATCCGTAAGAAGTGAATTCGCATCACCTATGGGTTCCCCGATTCCCCCTCCTCCGGAAATTATTCCACAAGTCAATGGACTTAATGGAACAAGTGAAAATGTTCAAAATGAAAATAGTGTTTCGGATGTTGATAATTCACCTAATAATGGTCAAATGGCTAATGGGACTGAAAGAATGATAACTCCCCAAAGCAATGATGATTCTGATATAATTCACATGAACTGTGATGATAATTCCCTATTATATAGGGAAATTGCATCGGATAAAGAAAACGTCTCTTCACCTTCCAATGAAGTTATAGACAATTCACGAAATGATGAGGAGACGATGCATGATAATTTTAATGAGGAGGGGGCTATTGATGGTGACGATGAACAAAGTGTTGTAGAAGATTTAGGTGAGGTTATCGAGGAGGAAAATAATGCATATATACCTGAGGAGGAGATCGAAGAAGTTGGTGATATAGCAGTAAGTGAGGAAAACGAAAGAAGATCTGATTCTCATGAGAGGGAAGAAGAAGATAATGCTGATATTCCTATTGTGGATGAAGGAGAGATTGTAGAAGACGTAGAGGAGATAGAATATAACATAAACAATAATAATAGGAAGAGAAAGCATGAGCATAATAATGATGACATTGAAGGAGATTCTACAAACGGAAGAAAGCGGCTCTTGGAAGTTAAAGATGACAAAGAAGAAGAAGGTGTGTTATTAGACAAACTTCCACATTCATCTGATCCAGAAAATGAATACAGTGATGAAGGTGTAATAGAAGATGATGATAATGATACCATAGAAGATGTGGATGCTGTATGTATAATATATATATATATATATTTTTATTTTATTTTAACTTTGTATCTTTATTAAATAATTTTTTTAAAAAAAATTGACGAATAATTAATTTCTCACTTTTTTATAATCGATAGAATTAATTACGCAGAGATGAAAAAAAACTCTCGTATGGATATTTTGATTGAAAATAAAATTATATATTTTAAATTTAAATTCTTTTACAAAATAATAGCATGTGTATATATAATTTCAAAAACAAAACCCAAGACATTTTCTGTGTAGTTTATATAAAAAATTTTTTCCTTTATTTCGAATTTATGCTTTCACTTTTTCTAATATTTCAGTTAGATAATAATAATAATTTATTGTTGAAGCGATTTTAATTTTTAATTTCAATGTCAATTTTATTTACTTGAGAGAAACAAAATGGAAATAGACATTCTTCTATTGTATTCTGATTTATGAATATCTACTCTAAAAGTTTTAAGAACATTGAGAAGAAGAAATAAAATTGGTTAAATATTTAGATCATTAATTATAAAAACTCAAATATATTTTAATCCTATTAAACCCTTTATTTATGACCTGTGAAGAAATAATTAATATGAAACCCAACCCAATTTCTTTTTTTTCCCAAACTCGATCTCCATTTTTTAATTCCAATTTTTTTTTTTTTGAAGGAAGATGTTTATGGTTCAACATTTGACATCGGCTCTTATGTTACATTGACCATTTTTAAATGAATATCGCTATTATTAAATCTTTTGGTAAATGCTTCTCTTCCATAGTATCTTTTAGTTATCGTTTTAGTTATCGTTTTAAACTGTATAATCTGGAGGACGTGATTTCTCGGAAGAGATTCCAACTTGGCGTCTTTGCTTCAAACTGACACCGCCAAATGTTCCAAGACATACATATATTATTCCAATTATAAATATAAACCATCCAGGAACTATTATGAATGTAAATAGACTAAATATTTTATTTTAAAAAAAAAAAGAAATAATTAATTATTTATTCGGAAAATGATGGACAAATTATAAGAATCTAATTCCAATAAAGTTATGTACCTATAACCCAAGAATTCAGTACTATTTATTCCACTGTCATATCCAAGAATTAATGATCCAGTTCTAAAAAAAAATAATAATAATAAAATTAAATATTTTAAAGTAAAATCTAATCAAATCATTTCTACTGCCAAATGACTATGACTTACATTATCTGTAAGAACCCAAAGAAGGTCCAACTATGTGAATCATCTAACATGGGAAACCAATTATAAATCTTCCTAGGCCAACCAATTTCTGACAATATTAAAACCAAAGCTTCAATAGCTATCACAATACGATTCATGAATTGAAAGATTGTATTGCTTTGACCAATTCCCGAAAATCCTTTGACATTTACAATGATACAGGTTGCGATGACCAGCATCAAAGAAATTATAGAAAGTAAACGTAATAAGTTAAGAGAAATCCAAACTGGGTCGGCCATTTCGAATGGTTATTTTTAAATTATAAAAAAAAAAAAAAAAAAAAAAGGAAATATTCTCTAATGCTTTCTAAGAAGTATTGGATCTTTTAGAAAAAGGAATAATAGGATTAAAAATATTATAATAATAATAAATACGAATTTTGTGACTTTTCAAAAGTGAGGAAACATTATGAAATTTGGTGGCATTTTATATAAAATTCTGGTCCTTGAAATCATTTGACAACAAAGAAAATTCGATGAACAATAACATTTTTTTAAAAAAATGAATTAACATTTTTTTATTTATAAAAATAGAATATTTTGACAAAGGTAGATGAAACTTAATATGAGACAATTCGAAATTAATAAAGTAACGGATTTTTATGCAAAACGAACAATCAAAAAATGCAAATTAGGAAATTGGTAATTTAACACAATAAATTGAATATTTACAAAAAAGTAAAACTAAAACCTCACGGAGCGTTTTTAATTTTTTTGTCTTATAATGTTGTATAACCTAACACGAACCAACGATATATTTTTTTTTTTTTGTCCCATAAAGATAATTTTGTATAATAAGAATCTTATGTAAAAAATCATCCTTGTGTATACATTAAATATTTATATCAATTCGTTAGGAGAGTAAAATAGGGTAAAATAATGAAAGCAGATTCAACCTAAAAACAATTTTTTTTTTTTTTTAACCTTATTTTGATTATACAGTGTGTTACAAAAGTCTTTGGAAAATTTTATTAGGCTATTACACAACAAGGGTCGATTCAAATTACGTGCAAA